AAAAAAAAAAAAAAAAAAAAAAAAAGCTACTGAACAAAATATCTAGCTGCAGAATGATAGGTACAGTATGTTACCGGTTATATAAAGTTTAAAAGCATGATGATGACAATATCAAAGTTGATCATAGACAAGTAAATATGGAGTAGAAGTATGGAGCCATCAAGAGAATAATAACCACCAAATTCAGGATAGTCGTTATCTGGGGAGGGAGGAGAGAAGGAGGAGAAGCAGTGAGTAGGGAGGGAGGAAGGCAAACTGGATCAGGGAAGGACACACAGGAGACTTTAGTTTGTTTCTGTTATTCTTTTTAAAGCTTGGTGATGAGTACAGGGTATTCATTACGTAATTCTCTATGCCTGAAATATTTTATCATGAAAAAGAGAAACAATAATATTTAGGGCCAGAATACCTGGACCTGAATAGGACTTGCACAAATCTCTTGATTTCTCTGGGTCTCAGTTATTACACCTGTCAATAATAGGACTGCTCTAGTAACTCTACATATGCTATTTAGACCTCGAAACAACCCTCTGAAGTATTATTATCTCCACTTTATAGGCAAAGAAAGTGAGCTCGGAGCTGTTAAGCAATGGTTCAGGATTTCAACCCAGGCCTGTCTGACTCCAAAGCTCAGGCTCATAGGTGCTCAACTTAACTCATAGGATGGTTGTGAGGAGTTGATGTATTAGAAATCCCTTTGGAGGCTGGGCACAGTGGCTCACACCTGTAATCCCAGCACTTTGGGAGGCTGAGGTGGGCGGATAGCCTGAGGTCAGGAGTTCGAGTCCAGCCTGGCCCACATGGTGAAACCCTGTCTTTACTAAAAACACAAAAATTAACCGGGCGTGGTGGTGGCCACCTGTAATCCCAGCTACTCGGGAGGCTGAGGCAGGAGAATCGCTTGAACCTGGGAGGTGGAGGTTGCTGTGAGATGACATCACACCACTGCACTCCAGCCTGGGCAACAGAGTGAGTCTCCGTCTCAAAAAAAAAAGAAAATGTGTGAATGCCTTTGGAAACTTCAAAATAATTATAGATGTGGATGAAGATGATGATGATGATACTGACAGAAATGGAAGAGTTATAATTGAACTCATACTTTGTAACTGGTATCTAAGATTTGAAAGAAATCAAGTGAGAGGCAGATAGAAAGCATCTGAAATGCACTAATGGAATGTAGAATGGAGTAGAGAGGGATACCTGTCCAAGTACAGGGTGACAGAGGTTGAGGCAAGGAAAGATATAGAACAGCAATGTGTAACCTTACTTCTATCAGGGGTTCTGACCCAAAGAAAAAAAAAACTGCCAACAGCAGCACTTGAGTAGAAAGCAACTTATTTTAGTATTTTTAAGAACTCAAAACATCAAACACCGGATTATTTGCTTTTAAAATTGAGAATGAGGAAAATGAACCTATATTCAAAAGATACAGCAAAGCCTGAAAGTATTGATAATATCGGTGTTTATAAGGACTGGGGCAATATGGGAAGCCTCATGCACTGCAGGAGCGAGATTTAATTGGTATAAGCGTTTTAGAGGGCAATTTGACAATGGGTATAGAAAGCTTTAAAAATGTGTGAATGAGGCCGGGCGCGGTGGCTCAAGCCTGTAATCCCAGCACTTTGGGAGGCCGAGGCAGGAGGATCACAAGGTCAGGAGATCGAGACCATCCTGGCTAACACAGTGAAACCCCATCTCTACTAAAAAAAAAAAAAAATACAAAAAATTAGCCGGGCGTGGTGGCAGGCGTCTGTAGTCCCAGCTACTCGGGAGGCTGAGGCAGGATAATGGCATGAACCCAGGAGGCGGAGCTTGCAGTGAGCTGAGATCGCGTCGTCACTGCCCTCTCCAGCCTGGGCAACAGAGCAAGACTCTGTCTCAAAAAAAAAAAAAAAAAAAAAAAGATCGAAGGCTATGGGCACAAAGAAAAAGATTATTAATACATTTGACTGCAGTAAGATTTACGTTAAAAGTCTTAATAAACAAAGTCTTCTTTATGTTCAAAGTCTAAAAACAAAGAAAAAATGGAAAGCCTGGGAGAAAATCTTTGCAACACATATAACACACTGAAGTTTAGCGTCCAAAATATGTAAGGACTCCCACACGTCAACAATAATAATGTACCAGTATAAAAGTGTGCAAAGAATGTGAAGAGGCCCTTGCAGAAGTGTGCAAAGAATGTGAAGGAATGGCCAATAACATATGAAAACATATTTAGTCTCATTAGTAATCAGATAAACGCAAATTAAAACCACAACGAGATCAGATTTCACATCAGATTGTCAAAAAATGTTAAATCTGACAACACTACGTGTTAATGAAGATGTGGAGCAAAAGGAGTTCTTACATACTGCTGGTGGGAGTATTAATGCAACCAGTTTGGAAAACTATTTGGGATTATCCAGTAAAATTAAATCTGCTCGTAGTGTATGACCTAATAAGTTGACTTTAAAGGAGCTTTTGTTCATGTTTACAAAGAGATACATATGATAATGACCATCGCATCAATGTTTGTCAGAACATAAAACTGGAGATAATCTAAAAATCTATCAACAGGAGAATTGGTAAAAAAAAAATGTATGGTATATTCACATAATGGAATACTAAACCAAGGTTGAAATAAATGAACTAGAACTTCAAAAAATGCCCTATGGTTTGTATGTGGCCTCTCCATAATTCAGGAGTTGAAAGTTGATGGCCATTGTGATGGTATTAAGATGGCCATTAAGAGGTGATTAGATCATGGGGCTTCTTTGTTCATGAATTCCTTTATGAATGGGATTAAGACCCTTATAAAGGAGACCTTTTGCCCTTCCACCTTCCACCATGTAAGGACACAATGTTTCTCTCCTCTGGAGGATGCAGTAATAAGGCACCATCTTGGAAGCAGAGAGCAGCCGTCATCAGACAACAGAACCTGCTAGAGCCTTGATCTTGGACTTCCTAGCTTTCAGAATTGTGAGAAAATAAATTTCTGTTCTTTATAAATTACCTAGTCTCAGGTATTTTGCTGTAGCAGCACAAACAGACTAAGACCTGTGTCAACATGGTTAAATCTCAAAATCTATTGAACGAGGCTGGGCGCGGTAGCTCACGCCTGTAATCCCAGCAATTTGGGAGGCCTAGGTGGGCAGATCGCTTGAGAACAGGAGTTCGAGACCAGCCTGACCAACATGGTGAAAACCCATCTCTACTAAAACACAAAAATTAGCCGGGCATGGTGGCATACACCTGTAATTCCAGCTACTCAGGAGGCTGAGGCAGGAGAATTGCTTGAACCCGGGAGGCGGAGGTTGCGGCCAGAATACCTGGACCTGAATAGGACTTGCACAAATCTCTTGATTTCTCTGGGTCTCAGTTATTACACCTGTCAATAATAGGACTGCTCTAGTAACTCTACATATGCTATTTAGACCTCGAAACAAC